AAGTGGACAGAAAGGGAGCTACTTCTCTTGTTGCCGAGGAGTCCCAGAGAGATGGGTGGCTTTCCCCCAGGGAACAGTTAGGACTTCACCGACACCGATCTCTTCTCTCTTTGGTCCAGCTCACCAGCTCCTGCCACGTTCACCACCTGCCTGGTAGCTCGGCTCCTGCCTTTATCTGCCGCTTACTCTGTGTACAGCCCCCAGCTCCAGGGGAGTCTCCCCGGCTGCCTCCTCGTGATGCAGTTTCCCTCCCAGCGTCTCCACTCTGCTGTTTCATTCTCCCTCGGAGCCCTCTGATCGGCTCCTCTGTCCCATCAGCCTGGGTCCCTCCTGCCCTGAACGCCTTCCCGCCCCGTTCGCGTTCAGAAATGACCACTGAGGCCCCTTCAAGGCTGTTGACACTTCTTCTCTCCACGTGTGTGTCTTCTGAACTGGGGCAAAGTGGCTAACAGAGTCCCCTTGGGCCCCTTCGTTGTCTTCCTGGCTGAGTGGCCTTTGGAAAAGCTCCCTCGCTTGTCTGTGCCTCCGTTTCCTTAACAGAAAATAGTGGCGGCGCCTATTTGAGATGCGAAGTCAATTAAGTAAATTTATAACCTTGATGAAGCCCCGCCCAAGCCGCACTGGCGGGCGAGCCGGTTCCAATGGGGGGCCACCCTCTAAAGGGTGTCCCAGGGTTGTACAGCTCGATGTACCCGGACATCTCTGCTTTCTCCCCTGGAGCAGCTGGCTAGTTTGAACCTCCAACTTGTGGTGAGCAGGCCGCCGCCTCCCCCACCGTGTTCTCAAGGTGACTGTGACCTCCCTGAGGACATGAACCCTAACTTGAACCCCTCCCAGTCCTTTGGCCTCCTATGGCCCCTGGCTCGACTCAGTCAACACCGCCTTGAACAAACATGATACTGAGGCTGCCGGGCCGGGAGTCTGGCCCCGTCTTTACATCTGCCCGAGGCCCTTCTGCGGGTGGTGAGAAGGATGCCCCTGATGATGGGACAGAGCGCCCCTCCCCTCCAGCAGCCAGTGTCTTCGATCTCACGCCCCTCGTGGGTGGGCACCTACCCCAGCCGTGGAGACCTTTGGTTCTGTCCTGCCCTCCTGTCCTTCCCCTTCACTCTGCCCTCTGCTGGAACCTGTGTCCCATCCACCAGATAGCCTCCTGTTTCTACAGCAAGCTCACGCTTGTTGACCTAAACTACGCCTTACCTGGAGAGCACTGTCCAATACCTTTAGCCTAGGGGTGGTTCCGTTTCCTGCTAGAAACGTCACAACTGCCTCTCTTTCAGAGAAGCGGACAGGTATGCCACTTGGAGAAGAAGGCAAGGCCAGTCCACTCAGCACAGGTTGGGTCAGCAGCCTTGGCAGCTGTCTGTGGAGAAGCAAGTTCTCACAGACCAAAACGAGGACCCCTTCTGACTCACTATTTTCTCTTGGTCCCAACAAATCCCCAATCTTGTGCTCAGTCGGTTGATCAGTGTTGGAGCGATTCTGTTAATGCCTGGAACGGAGAGGACTTTCTCTGTGAATGCCTTTATTGAGTGGGCTGTGCCTTCCGTATGATCTACTTCACACAGACAGTTCAGTGGTTTGTAGCTCACCTTTGATGTGGTGAGAAACGTGTGGAACTTCTCACCACAGGCTGGTCACTGAGCACGTCAGCCCAGATTTAGTTAACCTCCCTCACCGGCTACTCCATCCCGTCAGGCATTGTAAATTAGAAAAAGAGACACTGATCCCAAAGGGAGGCGGGGTGGGTGTTGGGAGGGAGCCAGCCAGACCTAGGAGCAGGACAGATGGGGAGCAATGAGACATTGTTGTGCATAAGCCTGGGCTGAACCTTGCGTGTTAATCTCCTCCACCACCCCCTGCCATGTTCATCTTGCTGCTTTTCTGCCATTTCTCAGCAGGAGTCACCTTCTGTTTGCTTAGGGAGTGGGGAGGCTGTCCTTAGAAAGCAGACACTGGAGTCCACTGAGGTAGCCAGCCTCCCTCCCTCCCTTCACTTCCCTTCCCCAGGATCTGGCCGGGCCAGGGAGGACAAGTCAGAAGAAAACCAGAGCTAATGTGTGGGCCAGTGTGAGCATGTGACCTTCTTCAGACTGGGATCTAGGAGCTCAGGATTGACCAAGATGGGCACCCAAATGGCAGGGCTTGAGAGTCTGCTACCTGTGTATGTCCCAGGCCGAGGCATGGGAGTGTGGTATGGAGACTGTTCAGGAAGCTCCCCTGGGCCTTGGAAGACCATCCACCGTGATGGCCAGTTGAGCTCCTCTGTCTTTATTGTAATTTATTTTCAGCCTCCGATCTTCTCAAAATGCAGGGAGTGTTTGCTGACTTGATCATCCTAACTATTAAATAAAAATGTCTTTATCACATGGGGTTTTTTTTTAACCTGTTTAAACCAAACCAGTCGAAATTCAGACCCACAAGAGGAGCCTTGCGTTTGACCAGCATCGCAAGAGGTAACCCTCCCTGTTGTTCTCTCTTGCAGCGAGTGGCCGACCTGGAACAAGAAAATGCACTATTGAAGGACGAGAAAGAACAGCTTAATAACCGAATCCTGAGCCAGTCGAAAGGTACATCCCACAGTGCTTGGTTTTTGTTGGGGGCTTCCGTCTCTTTTCCACTCTGTTTTTCCCCCACACGCTCCCAAGAGACTCCCAGCCAGCATGCCAGTCAGGCCCTCCTTGGAAAAGGGCTTTCCTACAGGAGAGATGAACCGGGTCTGGTGATCTTTGGGGTCCTGCTGTGATACTTGGATTCGGGAGCTTCATGAGACAAGACACACAGGCCGAGCGATACAAGGGGGCTTCGCAGGATTCCAGGAAAGATGGAGCTGAAGGAGAATGGGATGCTTCTGTGCACTTGTTAAGGCCCCTCGGGTTTGTAGGGGGCGGTGGGGCTTTGTGGGACTTGGCGGTCAGGGAGAGCTGGATGCAAAGCATACTTCTACGAAAGGCCACTGGGGGCCCTTGAGCAAGCTCAGCTTCTTCATCTGCACGCTGGATGCTCTGGTCCAGACTCCAGAGACACGTGCTGGGGGAGTCTCAGGAGCTGCCCAGGTGGCGGATTTGAAACTGGACTTTGGCATCCATAGTACCCAGTTTCTGCTACCCACTGGTCCATCTGTCCGTATGTGCTGACGGGGGCCAGCAGCCCATTTCAACCTCCCTCAGCCACCTCCTGTGTCACCTTCAGTCCTCGCACCCCTGGCGATGGGAGAAGCTTGCGAGTCTGTGCACCATGTTCTTGGTGGGCTTGCTGTGACCGAAGCCCATCCCACCCATCCCCTTGCCTCCCTGCAGACAAACTTAGTGAATGGGTCAATTTTTTTTTAATCTCCTTTAAGAAGTGCTCCTTTCCAGAGTTTCAAAAGCTCATGGAATCCAGACTTTCTGGAGTCATCGAGTCTGGATGGACTCCCAAAATCATTGCCCTGAGAGCATCTTGCAACCTTAAAAGCCAAAAGATCCCCTGGGGTCCTCTTTAAAGGAAGCCAGAGTTCAGCTGAGTTAGTAACAGATTCCTGCCTTGAGTCTCGGGCTTTTCTGAAGAGCTGTCCACACGTGGTCCAACAGACAGCAAGTGACTCAAAAGGCCAGCAGGGAGCCTAAGGGACTGGGAGCTGATGTTAGTCGGGAAGGCAGGATTCGGAAGAAGAAGGTGAGAACCGGCACGCAGCTGGAAGGTCATTGGATTGTGGTGTAGACACTACACTGGTGGCATGGTGCGCTGTGTATATTGTCAACAGCAACAAAAATAGATACTTTTTTTAATGGTCCCTTTCCACTCCTATAAAACATACATCTTGGCAGGAGACAAACCCATCCAGATGATGAATTTGCCTACCCTCCTCCAACCTAACCTTCCAGCCCATAGGGTCTGTCCCTCACACTTGTGAAATTCCAACACTCCCCACAGCCTGGAAAGGCCAGGGCTTGGGAGGAAACTGTGCAGAACATGTGTCAGAGAGGGCGGCTGGTGGGCCGCTCCCCCGACTTCCCTAGAGCAGGTGGCTCTGCCCCCATCTGAGGTCTTCGCACGCATGCACAGGGCAGGGAGTTCCTGCAGTAAGGACGGCAGCTCAGTCAGTTCCCCAAGCGCTCTCCTGAGCTGGCCAGGCGCGTCCTCAGACCGGCCGTGAACCCTCTGCTCTGGTCAATGGGTGGGTCGAGGTGTGTGCGCAGAAAGCCGAAGGCAGCTCACTGCGCTTCCTCTGCAGATGAGTTTGCCCAGAACTTGGCCAAGGAAAACGTTCTGATGAAGAAAGACTTGGAGGAGGAGCGTTCTCGGTACCAGAACCTGGTGAAGGAGTATTCGCGCTTGGAGCAGAGATACGACAACCTTCGGGATGAGATGACCATCATCAAGGCAAGGAGGGTGGTCCTACGCACTCCCCCAACTCCCAGCCCACCCCCCGCCCCACCCAGACCCTCAGCAGCCCCTGCAGGGCTCCCCCCACAGCACAGGAGCCTTATGTGTCCACTTGCTCTTGCTGCGCCCTGGCGCGGCTTTGCACACAGAGGTAGCTGGGCTGAGCGACCCCTCCTACAGCCAGCTCCTCTTCCCACCCTGGTGGTCTTCTAAAGTTCGAAGCTGCGCACTGAAGGCAAGTCCGGCCGGCCGTACACTTTCTTTTTGTTGTTCCGGTTCTGGAAGCCCCTGCCTGCGCTCTAACGATGATGGCGCTGCTTCATTGGTGCCGCTGCGGGCCGGCCCTCGGCGGCCTGGCCCATCTGATCGCTTCTCCGGGTTGCTGATAAGAGGGCAGCGGACATAAGAACATTTCCATGCTATTTCAAGATATCAGCCCTTCCTTTGTTAGCCACGTAAACATTCCCCCAGAAAGGCCTACTCAGAGGAGACTGAATAAGTTAATTGCATGGAAACCAGGAAGAGACGCTGCAGAGAACCATACAGAGACATCTAAAAATCTTTCTGAGAAGCCAAATCAGATGCCAAAAAAAGGTGGAGGGTGGCTATTTTTGAGCGATGGGCGTACACGGCAAACTGTTTCCGTGAAGTTAGCATTTTCATAAACACGATTGGTGGCGCGCAGGCTGAAGGGAGGGGCCAGCGGGGGCAGGCTTCCACCCTATTTGTCCAGAAGGGGCTGTGACGACAGGACTCCTCTGTGCTGTTGGAAGGTGATCCTGGGAGGAAAAGGTGATGTCACCAGGGCCTGGTGGTGTCTGGGGTTACACCCATTGGGTCCCTAACCCCAGGGTCAGCAGTTCGAACCCACCTGTTTCTTCTCGGGAGAAAGATGAGGCGTTCTGCTCTCATAGAGATCTGCCGTTCTGCCCCGCCCCCTGTCGGGCAGAACTGACTCGATGGCAGCGAGTTTGTTCGGTTTGGTGTTGGAGCTCTTGCCCCTTCTGAGTTACAGATGTGCATTTCATTAAACGACCACGGAGCTAGGTTCCCACCAGAGCCAGCTTCTCATCCATTGCCATTTTATTTGGTAGCTGGATGGCTGACTGGAACCCCAGTGTGGCTGTTGGAACAGGCGTTGGACTGTTAAAGGCAGGGCCCGCGGTTCAAACCCACCAGCAGCTCCTTGGGAGACGGACGATGCTGGCTGTTTCTGGAAACATTTAGAGCCTCTGCAGCCCCATGGAGGGTCATTAGGGTGGCTGTGCTCTAGATGGGTGACTGGTGTTTGGTGGGAGCGGCTCAAGTGCCCATGGTTCCAAGAAACTGTGATGTCTCTTCTTGGAAGTCAGGCAGGAAGGGACTGCGCAGTGGACAGCGTTGTCACTCAGAAGGTCCGCTTCTTTCCCCTCCTCCCACAGCAAACTCCAGGGCACAGGAGGAACCCATCGAACCAAAGCAGCCTGGAGTCGGACTCCAACTACCCATCCATCTCCACGTCGGAGACTGGAGACGCTGAGGATGCCCTCCAGCAGGTGGATGTAAGTTGTGTGGGCCATCCCCCCACCCCGATGCTGCCTGTGCTCCCAGGGAGCTGCCCTGCAGGGGTAGCGTTGGTAGCTAGTGAGTGACCACAGTGCCCAGGGCCTCGTTCTTGACCACAGGGACCCCTCAGTCTTAGTGGCTCTATAGACAGTTCTCTAGACTTAACACTGACCGAGCAAAGCAGTCCAGGGCTCACCCTATAATGGAAAGAAGGAGCCCACGCCCCACTTGCCCTCTCAACACTCAACACCAGTGCATACGGGCGGCTTGAGGAGGAACAGCCAAGCCACGGAAGCAGATGGAAGGCACCACCCCATTTCTGATCACAGCACACATGGCGTGATGTGATATGTGGAGCAGTTCATCCGGAGAGCAAGTGGTTGAAGTGGAAGGATGAAGGGGACTGTCAGCCGGTAGCAGCCTCTTCCGGTCACTCGCCGTTGTGCTACACAGTGGACCTCATGGGGTGTGTGTCTGTCATTTTGTCGGCGTTCCAAAGACCCCCAAACTGCTATCTGCCATCTGAGAAGACCATCACCAGCACCCACAACCCACAACCCCCTCGTCCCCCGAAATGCTCAGAGCCAGGCCTCGAGGAGAGCCAGCCGCAGGGGGCCTGTTTGTGTTGTCTGATGGCTAAGCAGGAGTGTCAGTGAACACAGTGGCTGTGTTGAGTCATGTCACTCAGCCGTCCACCTAAAGTGGCAGCTTCCTGTCACATGTATTTGACCACCAAAACACAGTCTTAAAGTTTGTCTCTTGATGTTTTTCCAAGAGGACCCTCATCTAGTCTAGAAAAAAGAAAATGCGTGTTGAGCGCTGCCCACCCCCAACCTTGGTGCCAGCGTTACAGCTTGAAGCGACAGGGGCAGATGTGACCTAGTCTGGGAAGGTCCCCACCCCCACAGAGCTACTCCGGGTGGACACTGGACACTGTGTGGGACAGCTCTTTCGTGGCCCACAGGCGTGCTAAGTGCTAGAAAGAAAGGGCAACGAAGGGCAGTGACAGAGCGATGGAGCTGACCATAGGAGCCTGGAAGAGGAAGGCGGGCCCGGGACACAGGGTCTCTCATCTGTTGTACAGCCAACTCCACGTGATTGGCTCAGGCCGGATGCGCCGAGGACACCCCAAACAAGCCCTGCTTTGGGGTCCTCCATTTTTCTACCCCTGTCTCCGAAGTCCAGGCCGCCCCCGACCCCCACCGTCGGCTTCCACCTGCCTGAACACAGATGCATGTGCATGTGCTGTGCTGATATTAGGCACTGCCCCCTCCCCCGAGAGGGTGCTCCTGGAGGAAGCTGAAACACGGAACCACATGCCACCTAACCACATGCCACATGGGCTTGTGGATATGCTCACGGGACACCCACGCACAGGGTGTTCAATGTGTTTGTACGTGCGCACACATACACCCACTGCGCACGCTCGCACACACGTCACAGGACCCTGGAGGGCCATCCCGGGTGAGTCTGTTCAGGGGCCAGTCCTCCAGGAGGTGGGCACCATGGGGTCTGTCAGGCAAATGAGCTCCAAGCAGGGACGACATGCAGCCAAGTGCGTCTGACGGGTGCTTCCCAGAAAGGCCGCATCAGAAAGTATTCTGTGTCCAGCTTCACCATCTCTTGAAACCAGCCCTCTCGACTTCCTGCTCCGCTCATTCCCAGCCCCTCTCAGTGGCTCGCACAGAAGGACAAGCGGCTGAAGAGCCAACGCAGCCTAGCTCGAACGGGAGCCTGGTGCTCCAGCGTTAGTGGGCAGAGTGGTGGCTGGCAGGCATGGGCTTTGAGCCTGAGGTGTGGGTGGAGGGGTCCCTGAGACACAGACACAGCTGAAAGCCCCCTTTTCCCTCCTCTCCCTGCCCCGCTGAAGGAGATGGGGCTGGAGAAGGCCGCCATGGACATGACGGTCTTCCTGAAGCTGCAGAAGCGAGTGCGGGAGCTGGAGCAGGAGAGGCGGCGGCTGCAGGCGCAGCTGGAGAAGCGAGAACAACAGGACAGCAAGAAGGCCCAGGTGCCAGGCAGGGGCAGTGTGGGGCAGGGGCGGGGGCTGGGCCCCCAGGGACCACGGGGCATCATCTGTGTTGGAGTCCCCACTTAGTCCTTTGCCAGGCTTCCCTGCCACCTCAGTTGGACGGGAGACACCTTCCCGGATGGCCCCAGGACAGAGGAATCCCGCTGGCCATCTCAGAGGGGTCTGTGCCATGGCCATTCCCTCATCCAGCGGGAGGGGCATTCCAGGCACAGCTGTTGCTGGGAAGAGAAGAGAGGGGCTCATGCCAGGAGGCAGCGTGGGGTGGAAGTGTGACAGCAGGCAGGGGTGAAATCCCAGCAGAGAACATCGATTGCCCTTTCAGAGTGGGGCTCCAGCACAGCCTGAAGATGAGCCTCGCGGGGTTGGGAGCAGAACAGGTCTCCCCACCATCACCTCACCCCTGCTGGCTCCACCCTCCCCTCATCCCCTTGAGCAACAACCTCTTGGGTCTGGAAGGGGGCTCACACCCACCAGCTGCTCCTGAAAAATAAGGCTGTCTGCTCCCCTGAAGATGGGGCTCGCTGCGGATCAGAATCCACCGCAGGGCGATGGGTGTGTTGCTTCGGCTTGGGTTTTTTTCTGGTTTTAAGATGTAGGAGCCATCGTTTATCTCCTCAGAGGGGCCACTGAAAAAGACCAAGCCCCTTGCTATTGAGTCCATCCCGACTCCCAGTGGAACGGCTCCACGGGATCCCGAGGCATATGCAGCCATGCTGCCCACGGAACAGCTGGCGTGGGCTCCAGCCCCCAGCCTTTGCTTAGCAACTGAATGTTTAACCTCAGGGCCACCGGGCTTCTTTTTGTCAAAGTACCAAGAACAAACACGCTCGCTGCCATCAAGTCCAGACGGCTCACAACCATCCTACAGCACAGGGTAGAACCTCCCCTGTGGGTTTCCAAGACTAACACTTCTGGGGAGCAGGAAACCTCGTCTTTCTGCTGAGGAGTGGCTGGTGGGTTTGAACCGCTGACCTTGCTGGTCACAGCCCGGCATGTTACCATTGCAGATAGTACAAAGCCCTAACATCCCCAGGCAGTTCATCTGCATGCGTATTGGCTTCTAACGGGTTACAGGCCAACTAGGACATGAAGGGTATCATTACTATCATTGTCAGTTTATCAGAGGCCTTTGGCCTGTCCTTGGCCCCAAATGACCAGCTGTAAGGCTTGACTGCCTCCCTGCAGCTGCACCCTGTTCTCACCCCTGCACAGGCTCCCTCTGTAACCCCGAGGTCCCTTCCCCATCAAGTACAACGCAGAGCCTGCCCTGCCTTGCTAGGAAAGTCCCGGTGCCCTTGTGAGCACTCAGTGGGGAGGGAGGTAAGTCTTGCTGAGGGATTTAAATCTCAGGTGGATTTGGTCAGGCTGGAGAGGGAAAGGATTAGGTTTACAAATGACTCATTCATTCGGAAGAGAAGCTGCCGGGCAGGCTGACCAGCACTCTAATCAAGGCTAGGCCACATCAGACAAGCCCTGCTGGAGGGGTGCCCCGCCCATCCAAACCCCAGTATTCATCCTCTGGGTTCCCCACTTCAGGCACCCCAGCTGCATGTGGACACTTGGCTTTAGGACTGCTGTGCGCCTTGATGCCAAGGGACAAAAGGCAGCAGGTCTCTTTAAAAAAGGAGTGCTGGCCAAGAATCAGAACTTCTTCCTTTTTAAAAAGGCAACAAGGAGCATCTGTCAGTAATTAGAGGAGCCCTGGTGGCATCGTGGTTACTCGTTGGGCTGCCTACTGCAAGGTCAGCAGTTTGAAACCACCCGCCTTGCCCCAAGAGAAAGGCAGGGCTTTCTACTTCCATGAAAAGTTACAGTCTCAGAAACCCCCAGGGGTACTTCTACCCCATCCTAGAGGGTCGCTGTGAGTCAGAATGACTCAATGACAGTGAGTGTGGTTTGGGTTTGGATCAACAATTTGGATCAACAATTGGCCTGCAGCTCTGTTGTGTGTGTGTCAGGGTCTCCCTCGAAGGAGACTGGCTTTGTTTCTTGTCAGTGTAGCCAGGAAGGAGGGGCCAGGGGGAGTACAGGCCCCCCCTCCCACTGCAATGCCCTGCCGCTGAGCTCTGACAGTGTGCCCGGCCCCGGACCTCAGCTGAACCACCTGGGTCTGCAGAGAGAGGGTTCAGCCAGACAGAGGAATGGCGGGGCAGTCTGGGGCATGTCACTGTGTCCGCCTGGGCTGATTTCTCAGTCTGGAAGGTGCGCACGGGTCCACATGTGCCTTCCCACCACTCTTCAGTGGGCACCTACACCTGTCCCCACTACATCCAAGCTGTGGTGAGACCCGCGGGAAACGGCTCACCACAGAGCAGCGAGCAAACTCGGTTAAGCCCGTGCTAATGCACTTGCTGACTGCGAGCCAGGGCCTGCTGTGCTGACTGGTTAACCGCCTCCTCCCCCACCCGTGCCAACCCGGTGGGAGTGACTGAGCCCACTGTCACCCAGTCTGTGCCAGCCAGTGTGTTGGAAGGCTCCCTCCACTCAACCCCCGCGCCGCATATCTGACAAGACATCTGGGTCACCAGGGTGACTAATGGGGCTGCCCACCAAGCAACATATGACTGCCATCAAGATGCCCGTAGCCTCTCAGGTCCCCATAGGGGCCTCCTTAATGCAAGCTGCTTGTGCACGTACCACCCCCAGGGGCATGCTGCAAACCACACTGCGGGGCACGGGCAGCCTCCCTCTCACCCAGGCTGTGGGCCATGAATGGGCCCCGTCCCCTGCACCACCAGTGGGAGGTGACAGCCACTCCCTGGAAGAGGCCTGGGGACAGTGCTGTATGTGCAGGACCCAGGTCTGGAAGGAGTGGCGGCAGGGGCTCCCATGTAGTCCCTCTTGCCCATCCACAGCTCAAGGGGGCCTTCCGTGGGGCGTAAAGGCCGATACCAAACCCACCCCCAAAATTAAACCCGTTACAGCTAGGTGCCCCCATAGGTCAGAGTAAAAGTGCCCACTCCAAGCCGACCCCCACATCTTTCTCCTGTGGAGCAGCTGGTGGGTGTGAGACACTGTTCCACCGGGACTCCGTTCGAGGCCGGCAGCCCTGTAGAAAACCTAAGCACTGTTGATTTCATAGCGTTAAAGAGTGTTCCCTTCTGGGGTCACCACCCACCCCAGGATATCATCTCTCGAGATGTGTGAAACTGTTTCTGCCCATCCTCCGAGGGCAGTTCCGGCTGAACAGCTGCCAGACAGGGGAAAGCATGCATGCTCAGCTGCATCCTAATGCACTGGTCTCGCAGGCTAGCCTGCCCTAGCCTGTGGTCCTGACATCACGCAGCGCCGGCCAGGCCTCCGGGTTGACCACCGGAGAGGAGGAGGTGGATCCCCACAGACAGTACATGTGTACACACGTGACCCCAAGTAGCAAGTGTGCTCGTTGATCCCATGAGTCCATGTGGTGGTCTCACGGTGTGATGCCCGCTCGGCCTGGAGGTGTCTGGGGATCTGGGTCTGGGCACCACCAGGGCAGTGGAGCCTGGTGGTGGTGCGGTTACACGTTAGACTGCTAACTGCAAGGTCAGTCGTTAGAAACCACCAGCCACCGGAAGACAAGGCTTTCTGTTCTCTTCAAGGGTTACATCCTCAGACTCCCACTGGGGCAATCCTGCCTTGTCCTGGAAGGTCCCTGTGAGTCCTAAGTCAGAATCCACTACGGGCTTGAGTTTGGGGCGAGTCAGTTTTTGGAACCTGGTTATGGAGCGCCCCCTGGCGGCCTTGAGCATTGAGCTGCACTCCACAGGTAGAAAAGGAGGGATTTAGGCGCCCAGTGAAGCAGGGGGTTGGTTGCACATGATTGGACTGCCAACTGCAAGATCAGCAGTTTGAAACCACCAGCCGCTCCAAGAGAGACAGATGAGGCTTTCAACTCCTGTCTTGGAAACGCACGCATTCCCCGTGAGTAAGAATCGGCTTGCAGGGCGTGAGCTTGACCTTGGGATCTGAGCACCCGTGTACAGGGAGAAAGGAACGCGTGCTGACCAGGGTCAGAAAGGCTGTGGTTACCTGTGCAGTGGATTCCAGTGTCCAGCAAGCTCGTGGGACAGAGTAGACGTGTCCCATGGGCTTCCTTGGCTGTCATCTTTTTGGAGGCCGATGGACAGGTCTCTCCCCCAAAGAGAAGGTAGCTCAAACCACCACCCTCTGTGTCAGTGGCTGAGCATTTAACCACGGTGCCTTGTGCCACGGCCATGCCAGCTCTGCAGACCCCGTGCCCGCAGTCCCTGCTCACACTCCTGCCTCTCTCCCTGGGCAGGTGGAGCCACTGCAGAATGATGTGGATTTGGACCAGGATGCAGACCTGGCCTACAACAGTCTGAAGGTAATGTTCTGGGGACAGCTCGCTTGCACTCTCATGCCGGGGACGGGCGGCGATGCCCCCTTCTGCCTCCGCGCTTTCAACCTCATCACCTGTGAGGGGAAGGGGCATTTTTATCTGCTACAGGAGCAGTGATACGCGCCTCAACGTCGCAGGAGCGGTTTCAGTGGGAATAGAATGGCAATGTTATTCCATTGGAATGAAATGAAACTTGGGCAACAAAATTGCTGTCGGAGTCAGGGCTGTGTGGGCCGATGCAAAGCAGAGGCCTGGCCAGTGCCCAGAGCTGTGGCCTGCAAGGAAATGGGGTGGAGGATGGAGGGGATGCTCGGTGATGGAGGCTTTGGGGACACTAGGATCCACCCATGGCAAGGAAAAATGGACAGGAAAGGGGGGCTGAACCAGCCCCCATTACTGGATGCGTTGGTCAAGAAATCAACGCCTTCTCATCAAAAGCGGTGGTGGTGTGGGACAGCATTTCAAATTCTCAACCGAGTCCAGGCTTCCTGGGCCCAAGTGATTGAGACTAGAAGAGCCCCCCCAGACCTATGGCTCTGTGAACATCAACAAATCATGGGTCAAAATTGCCCTCGGAAGTGATTGCACAATTACATGGTTTAGCCAAAGCAGTAAAGAATGTTCCCAGTGAGCGTGGCATTTAAAAAAATAATTATCTCTGTTGGATGAAAGTGCCAGCCATTTAAATTCAAGCCTACGGCTGTCGAGGTACTCCCAACTCCTAGGGACCCTGTAGGACAGAGTAGAACTGCTCTGTAGGGTTGCTAAGACCAGAAAAGCCTCTGCAGCAGCCAGCAGCCTCATCTTCCTCCCAAAGAGCATCCGGTGGGTTTGAAGGGCTAAACCTTGAGGCTAGCAGTCCAGTGCCCACCCCTCAGGGCCACAGAGCTCCTTGTCAAGAGCTTAAGGCATTGAAGCAGATGGAAGCGACTTCGGGGCTGCTCTCACCTGGCCAAGTGTTGTTGCTGGAAGGTGAAGTCACGTGGCTGTGGGGCCGACCATGGGACTTCCTCAGGAGGGCCCGGGGCCGTGGAGAGGGTGACAGCAAGGGGGTCAGGGTCACCTGGGCAAACAGCTCACCACTCCCTGATGCCTCCCCCGGGCTGAGGGACAGGCTGGGCAGGCAAGGAGCCAGGGTCCTGGCCAGCCTCAGAGCTGGTTGGGCAGAAAGCAGGTTGGCCGTGAGCAGGGCACTATTTGTGGAATATGCCTTTTCAAAAGGAGAGCTTTCCATTTTATTTGTGAGCTTATTAAAGCCACTCACATCTTAGGGAGGAAAATTCATAGAGGGAAATTTAAATAATGCTTATTTAAATATATCTTTCTGAGAGTAGCCCCCTAGAGGGAGAAGAGAAATCAAGGAGCCAGGTGTAGGGTAGACTACTGAGGTGGGGTAGGGAAGGGGCTGCTTTGATTAGCTGATTCATCAAAACTCAAATACAGAGTCGATGATCCGATCTGTAAAACCCCACCAAGTTTACAGTAAAAAATTGTTTACATGCTAAGCACTCCAAGAAAAAAAATCCACCTTCCTAGTGTTGAAGGCAGCCTCCAGTACCACGTGGGGCATTTCTGTCCGGCACCTCTCCTGTGCGTGTTGCCACGGTCTCACAGCTGCAGACAGGTCACAGGGCGGTGGGTGTTAGCTGCCAGCTGCTGTCATCTGTCATGTCCATTCCGTGTGTGTGTGTGTGTGTGTGTGTGTGTGTGTGTGTGTGTGTGTGTGTATACTTCCCCGGTGACTCAAGGAGGCTGGGACATTTGGGGGCAGATCTCCAGGCCTGCCTTCCAAGGTGTCACTGGTTGGATTTGAACTGCCAGCCTTTGAACCATTGCTTAAACTATGTCCCACCCAGGGGGTTCCCCCCTATACCCTCTCCCACCCCAACCCCGCCCCTCACAATCCTTATAATATTCTTTTCCCTTAATATAACAAGCTCTTTGTAAACAGGCTTTCTGATGTACGGTTAATATTTTATAACATAATTAGGATGGTTTTCTTCACCGTCCTGGAGTTACTAACATTTTAATTGCTTCCGTATTTTACTATCATAAATAAATAATGCCGTGAGGAAGCCGGCCCTCTTTTTGAGAGAGAGGCCTGGACGCTCCCTATCTATTCCAATGAAATTCTCCAGAATTTTTAAAGCCGGGGGCACTGGTTACCGTTGCCAAGGGCTCCGTCGGAGACTGGGCAGGGTCCTCCCGTTTAACTTCCTCCCGGGAAGACTGCTGCTCTGAACTGCGACTGTGAACCTGCCGTAGCCTGTGGACGGGGTGGGAGTCCTGCTCCCCTTCCTCACAGGTGCTCCGTCGGTGACGGCTGTCCACGTCCCCCGTGAATGCTTCCCTGCTGTGCAGCGGGCCTCTTGATGGGGTGCCCTGCAGGTGGTGACCCAGAAGCAGTTAGACCTGTGCTCTGTCGGTCACCCTGCACCGTGTCACCGTTGCCCAGCCTGGCTCAGCCTCGCCCTGGGCCAGGAACCCGTGAGCTCGCCCTGGGCCTCTGCTCTGCCCTCTCGTGCACTCCAGGACCCTGCCAGGGACTTATGTGGGCTAAGCGGTGGGCCGTTAACCCAAAGGTCAGTGGTTTGAAGCCAACCACCGCCTGGTGGGAGAAAGACAGGGCTGTCTGCTTCTGTAAAGCAGCGCCACCCTGTCCTGTGTGGTGGCTAAGGCCACAGTCGGCATGACAGCCGTGGCTTATCAGCCTTTTTTGGCTCGGCTTATCAGGCTTTATCTGCTTTATTTGGCTCGGCTTATCAGGCTTTATCCCAGGCACAGAGTTAAATGAATACACTCCCCAGACTTTTTATCTTGGATGATCGATGGAGATTTCTTTCTCTGCACGGGCACAGGGGTGGGGTGGCCTTCCAGATGGCCCAACCAACAAAACTGTGTCCTTGGGAGGTTCTCCAGAACCTTGGTCTGGGTGATGATCCTTGAAACAGGAGGGATCCCGGGGACCCTCCGACCCTCAGCCCTGTGTGGCGCATCTCTCCGGGGCATATTGCCTATCGGGTCAAACCATTGACCCAGCAACTTCTCCAATGAGGGCTTCAGGGCCATGTAGACACTAGCCAGAGCCCGTGTGCCCTGACACTGGGGGACGTGGCCACAGAGGTGGGGAGCCTGGTGATACGAGCGCTTAAGCGCTTGGCTGCTCATTGAGCAGTGGAAGGGTCTCCCCATCCAGCAGCTCCACCCACGGGAGGACACACCTGCTCATGGGCTCCCCGAACAGGTGACCAACAGAAAACCCTGTCCCATGGGGCCACCCTAGGCCAAGCACCTGGCCATAGCAACACTAGAGATGTTGACGTCCACGCCAGTGGCTGGGCGGTAGGAGTTCAAGTCCAGACTCCAGTGCCGCCCTTTGCTGTCAGCGAGAACCCCTGCCCATCTTAGCCACCAGTCTCACGGAAGGGATGGCAAGGGCGCTCTGGGCTTGGTGGAGGCAGTGTGTCACGGAGTGTCGCCCGCCGCCCTGTCTTCCAGAGGCAGGAGCTGGAGTCCGAGAACAAGAAGCTGAAGAATGACCTGAACGAGCTGAGGAAAGCGGTAGCGGAGCAGGCCGTGCAGAACAACTCCATGCCCGGCTCCCCCGACGGCTACAGCCTCCTGCTCAGCCAGCTCCGGCTGGCCAGCGAGGAGCTGGAGGTGCGCAAGGAAGAGGTGCTCATCCTGCGCACCCAGATCGTGAGCGCCGACCAGCGCCGTCTCTCCGGCAAGAGCCCGGTAACCACACGGCCACCGCCCCGGGGGAGGCTGGCGGGTGGCGCTGGGTCACAGGGGTGGCTTAGCCGTGGGGTCGCTAAGCCTGAGGGAGTGGGGGGTCTTCTGCTCGGGGTCCCCTCCGGAGGCAGGACAGGAAATGGGCCTCTCTCCTGAGAGGCTTTTCTTGGAAGATTGGGCTGGCATCTTCCCCAGCACCTTCTGAAGTTGCTCAGTGGGAACACATGCAAACAGACAAAGAAAAGGCACAGACGAAGACAGATAGCTTCAGGAGGGACACGGGCCCTGGCCTGGCCGCCCACCGTGGCCCTTGCTGTCCCTAAGCGAGAGTCTGTCTCCTCCCTGGGCCCTCCCAGTGGGATGAGCTCGGCCTGCGTGTGTTCCTGCTGTCCCCACCCCGGGGACAAGGGTGCAGCCAGACGGAGTGAGAGTGGTAGGGCTACCTAGGCCACTTGGGGGCGTGGGCCCCTGGCAGCATGGGGTGGGTTGGGGCGGGGAATAAGTCGACAATAATGAGCGTGGACAGTCCACGCCTGAGCCCAGTTCTAAGTGTGTCCTCTGAACTCAGGGTGCCATCTCTTCCTGGGCACAGTGTCCTCTCCATCAGCCCCTTCCGTCCCATGCCTCACTCCCTGTCCTGTGCAGCCAGCAGCCTGCTCTGTGTCTCTCCCAGGGTGACCCTTAAAGGCACCTTCCCTAAGAACTGGAAAGCCACCTCCCTGCTCGGGTTCAACTGCGGTGGTCGGAGGAGGGTCTTCCTGGGCCCTCCTGTCGTGAAGTTGTTTTGTGTGGCCACTGCGTGTCTCCATTACCGGAGCTTGCTAGCTCGTTTTTTAACCTCGGGCCTCCTAGGAGCCGAACATCAACGCCAGAACAAGCTGGCCCAACAGTGAGAGGCACGTGGACCAGGAAGACGCCATCGAGGCCTACCACGGGGTCTGCCAGGCCAACAGGTGGGTGGCACCGCTGGGCAGGCTGCACGTGGAGGAGGAGGGGAGGAGAGGGGTTTCACAGCTGCTCTCAGACACCTGCACTGGAGGACACATAAGAGGAACAGTTAGCCCCAGGCCCGTGGGAGCTGCTTCCACAAGGCTCCATTGACACCGGCGGAAGCATCTGAACCCGGATGCCCTGAGAGTGTTAGGGGGGCGCCCCTGGGAGGCATGAGAGGAGGAAAGGGGCGGGGGAGGGAAGCCTGGGCCGTCACACCGCCTTCACCCAGCCCAGATGTTGCTCTGAGTGCTCAGATGGCAGGCACTCCTCCCCCTCCCCCCCGCCCCAATTACTGAAAATGTCAGTAGGGGGTGGGCACCCCTTATGGGCAAGTATGTCCTAGGGTCTTGAGAGCCACCCTGTCCAGTTCCCCCCATCCAGAGGTCTTTCTGCAGGTGAGGGAAGTGCCATTCAGGTTTGGGTGCTCAGCTGCCATGCTGCCCTGCCCCTGGGCCCAGGCTGGGCTCGGGAGGCGGGTGGTACTTCCACCCTGCGCCGAGATCACCCCAGGCAATGTCTTCTCGGGGCCCCAGGAGGCCCCAATTCCGTTCCCAAAAGAGATGGTATGGTGTTCCCCAAAAGGAGGGGCACGGAAATGGACTGAACCCCTCCGCGCTGAAGCAGGGATCGGGATTCGTCCTGTTCTGTTCTCTGGGCACAGATGGAAATGTGAGGACAGAGGAAGCTGCCTGTGCGGGGGGTGGGGAACAGGGGGGCCATGTCTGCAGAGCCTCTAGCACCATCTCTGCCCCCACCCAATCCCTTTCGTTCCTCTACCAGGGGCCACTCAGCCCCCTGATGTGTCTCCTGAACAGCAATAATGATGGTGGGGCCAGCATAAAAACAGCGTGTATCCCGTCTTAAAGCAGTTCCGCTCCCAGCCAGCCTGGGGTCCTGCTGTCGGGAGCTGAGTGTCTGGGGAAGCCTGTGAAGGACAGGGGGCAGCCACCAAGAAGCCGGGCTGTGGAAAATACGTTACAGCAGCAGGGAGGGTTCCTTAGCGCCCCTCCCCAGAAGGGGCTGCCCACAGTGGCCAGGGTGCTTTAAAGATTGCCCTCCTACCACCACCACCCCGGCCAGTTCCCATCGAGCAGACAGACTCTGACTCTTGGTGGCCCCTTGGGTGTATCGGAGGAGAGGTGGGTGTGTCTGCACACGGGGTCCCAGGGGCTGGAGGTTCTGAAGTAGATTGCCAGACCTTGCTTCAGAGCTGCCTCTGGTGGGCTTCACCTCCCACTTCTTGGTCCCCAGCTGAGTGCTCAGAGGGTGCTCACCCCCCGGGACTCTGCTGTTCAGAGTTGCTTTTCCCTTTCCAACTGTCTCCCTGGTGGTGTAGTGGTTACATGTTGAGCTGCCAACCACAAGGTCAGCGGTTCAAATCCACCAGCCCCTCGCAGGAGAAAGAGGCTTTCTACTCTCTCAACGGGTCAGAAACTCGTGGAGGCAGCCCTGCTATGGCACCAGCTTTGACCTTTGGGTTGTTACTTGAAGTACTGTTTTCCTTGAAAAGGGAGATTGTCCTAGGTTCAATGTACACTGGAGGGAGGGCGGGGCAATGGGACCCTTTAAAATGTTGAGGAAATCTGTTACCTCCTTGGGTGTCGGGGAGGGCACGGGGGACTTTAAGTGCATCCACTGGATTTTACTCAGCGATTTCAAAGGTTTGAAAACCAAACACCAAACTCACTGCCGTCCAGTCAATGCTGACTCACAGCGACCCTGTAGGCCAGGGTAGAACTGCCCTGTGGGTCCCTGAGCCTGTAGCTCTGTAAGGACTAGAAAGCCCTCTCTTTCTCCTGGGAGGTTTCCAAGACCACCCTGATTCCCCAGAACATCCCCTCTAAGGCCCATGGCCCCTAAGTGAAGACCTTTTCCCCTCTGCTGATGCGCATGTTCTGTTTGAGAGATCTGTCTGGACCCTTGCAACCGTCTTTCCCTTGACTTGAACCTGGTGGGAGAAGCCGGGGCGGGCCTGCTGTGGGCCGAGCTGTGGGGACACGTGCCCCAGCAAGGCTTTCCACAGCGCTCTGAGAGAGAGCCCGTGTCAGCTGAAAGAGACCGGCGGAAATGGGAGGAGCTTGGCGTCAGCTGCCCTCTCTACCCGCTCCACCTTGATCGCCCACCTGAGTGGGCAGTGAACCCCTGTCCAGTACCCAGGGCTGTGAGGGGAGGGTCAGAGGCCAAGAGGACAGCAGAGGCTGCCTCCCCTCAGGACTTGGACTCTCTCTCTCTCTCTCTCTCTCTTTCTCTCTCTCTCTCTCTCTCCAGCATGTGTCCAGGGCTCAGGTCGGGATCCAAGAACAGGGCCCCTTGGCCATCAGCCACATCCCGTCCTTCAAGCTTGGAGGATGGTGCTAGTGGGTTGGCCCTCTTCTACCATCCCAGGGGGCTCCATGCAGCCCTCCCGCAACAGGCCCTTAGCATCAAGGCCAGCCTGGCAGCTGCGTTCTAGGCTTATGCAGGTACACCTGGGGTCACAACCCCCCTCGCACACATACACGTGGCCAGCATCGTGGGACTTGGCTTATCATGGAAGCAGTGTGTGTGGCCTCCTTAAGGTTCATGCAGCATTGTACACCTGTTGGGGACTTGAGGTTCAGCTGCTACGGGTTGGCAAGTTGGGTCGCAAGTCCAGGCGTAAACTAAAATCAAGGTACCTTGTGGAGCACCTTTAGAAACCGGACATGGGCAATCCCAGAGCCTGGCCAGCTCCCAGCATCCTGGGAGGCAAGAGCGGAGTCCTGTGTCACCCTAGATTTTACTCACTGAAAACCAGATCCACTGCCGTCACCCACGCTGACTCGTAGGGACCCAATAGGACAGGGTGGGCTGCCCCTGTGGGTTCCCAAGACTGTAACTCTTCATGGGGGGAGAACACCTTTCTCCTGGGCGGGGTCCGTGATTTCAAACTGCTGACCTGGCTTTTAGCGCTCCAGCATGCCACCACTGTGTGACCAAGGCCCTTGTAAAAGCATGAAGCACGTGTTCTGTTTGTTTTCCAATTCAAGTCTGATTGTGGTGTTTGGATGTTCCCTGGCCTGCCACCAGGCAGTGTGCCCTCCCTGGCTTTTGCCCGACGTGGTGGAAGTGGGGGAACAGGAGTCATCTCCCCTCTCTCCAGGGTTGGATTTCAGGGGCGGGCCTTGGTTGATTGGTTTCTGCTTTGACCTTTGTCCTGATGCCCTGCGGTGGCATCACTGAGATCTCTGGGGGGGCGGGGGGGTCCCTTTGGGGCAGTGACATGCCAGGGAGGTTAGTTCCTCCTGTGTATCTGAGTCAGCAGTTCACGTTGCTGCCCTCTGCCCTGGTGGGGCCCCCAATCTCCACCTCAGGATGGTCCTCCCAGGAATGGCCGCAGCTGGACCAGTGACTCCCTGTCCTTTAGGATAAATGGCTCCTTCCTGAAAGGCCCTAATCAGACACCCGTGTAACACCAGTCCTCTTCAGTTGTCTGGTCACTTTGGGCTTTGCTGGGACAGAAGGGACCCAGGGTGGACCCCTCCTGAGCCCACCATGAAGACATAATGACATTGGTAGGCACCCCACCATGCTGGAAATGGGAAGGGGGAGGGTGGGACTGGGGCATCTTTTCCTGTCATTCCACTCCATGGGCAGAATGTTCCCCACTTTCTGTGGGGGGAGTGTCTGCCCGCCTTCTCTTGCTGCCACATCAGACGCCCTGGCTTCCTGCCCCTTGTTTCTAGCAGGGCTGAGGACTGGGGCAGTTTGGACGAGGATGGAGAACAGGGACTGGCCTACCAGGCCCTGAAGCAAGTGGCCTGGTCACCTCTCTCTTTGCTTCCTGTCTCCGCTCCATCTGTTTGACCTGCTTGTGTCCAAGTTTAATTGTGTCTCAGCCCCGGGGGTATAAGACAGGAGTCATGTGGGGGGCTAGCAGCACCCCACCCCTCTGTGCGTGGCTGCAATAGCTCACCAGGCCCTCGGAGCCCACCTGGTCCAGCTCACCAGAGGTGTAGATGCACAAACGGGCGAGGGGTCCTAGAGGCAGCAGGTACCCAGTCATTCAGAAGAGGGTGAAGAGGCATTGTAGTTCTGGGCCACCTGGTCTTTGGAGGTGGGCCCTGTGCTGACCCTGCAGAGCACCCACTGGCTGTGGGACATGCTCCAGATCCTGGCACCCCTCAGAGTTTGTCCTGGGTGCACACGTAAGTCCACACCACTGCTCGTGGCCCATTGGCCGCACGGGGAGGGCTGCACCGGGTGCTGTCTGCTCACAGTGTGAGGACATGAGGGCCTAAAGCTCAGAGGCCCAGGGGACCCTGCTGCTCAGAAATGCAAATCTGAGCCTGGATCCACACCCACAACCCGCTGGCCTTCAGCAAGGGCCGCGAGTCATGCACAGACGTGGCGTGGCATGGCATGACCTGCCCTTGCTGCCCAGATGTGGCTTTCTGGGGCTCTGGCACATCTGGTTCATTCGTATCCCACCCCTAGCAGTCAATGGGGAAAGGAGAAATGGGATCCGAGAGGCAGAGAAGGTATGGGGTGGAGTGGGGGGCAGGGTACCAGGCCTCACACTCAACCTTGGGGGTGGGGGATAGCCCTCTTGCACACCACCTCTGGATGCTCCCTGCCTAGGAGCACCCTAACCCCCAGATGACAGTCACAGTCACCCAATAATCCACTGGGCAGCATGTCCAGGTGGCCAGGTCCCCAGGCCGGGAAGCTGTTCTCTGGGTCCAGTGCAGGCCCTGCCACCTGCCAGCAAGACGGCCTCCTCGCCTGGGCTGCTTCACAGGCCCTGCCCCATGGGGTCATCATGCTGGGTAAAGTGAAGGCCGGGTGAAGGTGTTGCACAGCACGCCTGGAGGAAGCACTGAACGGGCAGCCGTGGTCATGGTGTGATCCTGGTTACAGTTCCGAGACCGGGTTCTGGCCCACCGTGTGTGAAACCAGGTGATTCTCGGGTCCTGCCTCGGCAGGCTGGGTGTGGTTAGGGGAGAAGTCAGCAAACCCTGGAGCAAAGTCAGCAGATGGCACCCCCTGCAGGGCTGGGGCACTGGCACCTGCAGCCACTTCCGCAAGGCTGCTGGATGCCTCGAACTCCTCTTGACCGTAGTTGCCTGGCCTGGAAGGTGGGCCAGGTGGGAATCACTGTGCCCGCCCCCACCCCACTCCCACCAGCCACAGGCTCCTGGGGGGAGGGGAGAGAGGCAGGTGTCAGCCTGAGTCGGTGTGCCTGGATCCCAAGCCGCCATCTGCACTCTGTCTCCTTAGCTTTTTAACTTCCCTGCGGGTGGCTCTGAGAATCCAGTGGCCAGTACCGACCACAGTGTAGGCAAGGTATGTCCTTGCCGTGCCAGCCTCATGACGAGGCACTTGCTGCGCTCCACACGTTTGCGTGCCATCCCGTGGTCGTGGCGCCATGGTGAATGGGCGAGCCGCTCATCCCCTCCGTCCGGCGGTCCCTCCTTGTGTCCTTTTGTTGCGATCGGCCTGGTGAGGCCATCAGGCTGCTCCAGCCCCTGGAAACATGCTCGCGCTGTACACTTGGCCCTGCTCCTTCCTCTCTGGTAGACAGTCATCTCCTCCCAAGTCAAAAGCATGGTGTGGCTCTCCCCCACCGCAGGGCAGCCCTGGGCAGGCTCAAAGAGCTGTCCCTGGGCTCCTACCTGTGTGGCTTGCTTGGGCCCCCAGTGTTCTCTGCATCCCAGGTCCACAGGGACCTGGTCCAGGGACTTCTGACCCTGGCATTCATCCAGCGCCTGCCCTGCCCGTGAGCCGGGTGCACCTGAGTCAAAGCTGACGCGAGGGGGAAGCACCAGTTACACATGTCAGTGTTTTACTTCCTCGGGCTATGGCTATTCCGGACTCTCTACTGCAGGGGTCCTCAAACTACAGCCGGCGGGCCACATGTGGCCCGCCGAGGACATTTATCCAGCCCACCAGATGTTTTTGCCTGTTTTAGTTTTTTACTTCAAAATAAGATATGTGCAGTGTGCCTAGGAATTTGTACATAGTTTTTTTTTTAATAAAAAAAACAATAGTCCGGCCCTCCAACAGTCTGAGGGACAGTGAACTAGACCCCTGTTTAAAAAGTTTGAGGACCCCTGCTCTACGGCCTGCTCCCTAGGACGGCCCAGTGACTTGGCCCTTCTGGGCCCAGACTTCCCTCCACCCTCTCCAGACAGTCCCTCTGTCCCGCTGTGTCCCTCTCCGCACCAAGCCAACCCTGAGCATCTGCAGATAGAGGGCTAGGGCTGGGGCAGGAGAGTGAGGAGCTAGCAGTGCAGACCCATAGGAGGCCAGGTCTGAGCTGTCCGTCTAAAACATGAGATCGGGCTTCAGGATGAGCGCCGCCGTCCGCCAGTGTCTTGCCTGAATGAGGAGATGGGCGCTGGCAGGCATCTGGCCGCAGGGGATTGTCTGACAGCACATGAGAGGCGACGATTGCTGTTGGTGGCACTTGGACAAAGGGTCCATCTCTCCGTCCCAAACCACCGGCCCGTGCCCCCAGGTGGAGGAGACTGTAGTAGGTCAAGGAGAAGGAAGGGCTAAGACAAGGGCAGTGTGCAGGACCTTGGGTTCCTGTCCTTAAAGAGACAGGCTGGCCTGCTTGCCTGGTGACCCCAGGCTGTCTGTGTGCCCGAGTCCCTCCCACTCTGAGGCTGAGTCCTGCTGCGCCGAGCTTGGCCAGGCCTCTGCTGTGTCTCCATCCGCGGCCCTGCCCCGAGGGCACTGCCTTGAGCAGCAAGGCTATCTCCCGCCTCCCTCCCTGGCAGGTTGCTGGAGGCCCAGCTGCAGGCACAGAGCCGTGAGCACGAGGCGGAGGTGAGCAGCCTCCGGGGCCAGGTGGAGGCCCTGAAGGACGAGCTGGACACCCAACAGCAGACCTTCTGCCAAACACTTCTGCTTTCACCAGAGGCCCAGGTGGACTTCGGAGTCCAGCAAGAGATGTCTCGGCTGACCAATGAGAACCTGGTGAGTGGCCAGCCTCCCGGATGGGTGCTGGGAAGTCACCTTCAGGCAGCAGACGGACCAAGGATGGCCTTTAGGCAAGTGGGCAAGACAAGGGTTGGTAGAGCTGCTTCCGTTAACCCATTGCTGTCTAATGAGCCACCCGGGAGCCTAGGTGCTTAAAACTGCCACCACAGGGGCCAGGGAGGAGGATCCAGCAGGTCTGGGCACTTGCTGACCAGTGTTTTGGCAGTGGTAGATGGCTAGGCTTTCTTTCCAGGAGCCCTGGTGGGAGGCGTAGTGGGTGTGATGAAAGCCACGTAGGAGAAGTAATACCAGACACTGTAGCCTCAAAGACGCAGGAGGTTAATGATCCCGGAATGTCCAGCTCTTCCAAGACGGTCTTCAGGTCCACTCTCCCCCCACTCTTCCCTTGAGTCCCTGGGGTCTGCGACTCGCTGCAGCGTCCCACAGAAACTCACGGAACTTTGAGGAAATGCCCCCCAGGGTGGTGGGTGCTGTTTGATCTCAAATCCGAAGGTGTTTGGGCAAGCAGAGGTGAGTCGAATGCAGGGTCCACAGGCAGAAGCCAGAAATGCCGGGGGAAGTCACAGCAGGGCCTCTTGCTTGCCCTGGGGCTCAGTTGGGACACACAGGTCTGCCCTTTGCGGTGAGGCGGTACTCGGAAGAACTGTACGGTGGTGTTATTCTTCACCCCAGTCAGGGAAACAGGGGGGTGGAGTCCAGAGTCACACCCTCTAGTCCGAAAGACACCCCCAAGGAAACAAAGAGTGCGACTTGGCTCACACTGTCCCCTACGCAGGTCTCGCTGCCACCCCAATTCTGTCCCTTAGCTCCCTAGAGAAGGCCCTCCAAAGTGGGGTTCAGGCCAAACCCTGAACTCTGCCAGAGTTATAATACATCAGACAACTGATGGTGGCTGGAAGAGCTGCATTCGTTGACAGCAACTCAGTGGGTTACGGATTGGGCTGCCAGCCACAAGGCCAGCAGTTCGAACCCACCAACCTGTCTGCTGGAGAAGGATGAGGTTTTCTGCTCCTGTAAAGAGTTACAGCCTGGGAAGGCCACAGGGACAGTGCTACTCTGTCCAGGGGCCCCACGAGTCAGAATGGAGTGAGGGAGTTTCCTTTCAAGGATCCTCAGTGTGGACTCCAACCTCCAGCCTTCTGTCTACCAGCTGACTACGCCAGCCATCAGCCCCCACCCAGGAGCCCCTGTCTCCTTCCAAAGAGCCCACGGGGGGGCGGGGGGGGGATTCCCAAACCCCACGAGGCACTGTTCTGCACCCACACCCTGGGGTCACGGCCAGTCTGACTGGACTCGGTGGGGACTTGATTTTGAGAGAAAAAACCTGCTGCTTAGATTCCCGAGCTGACCCGAGTCACGCTTCATGGACACGGCGCCAACTTGCCTGCACATCAGAGGCATCCTGTAGGAGTGGACCCTGACTCGTGGGACCCCATTGTGTCCAAGCAGGGCCATGCTCCCTGGAGGTTGTCAGGGGCTGGGCTTTTGGCGGGAGACCACCAGTCCTTTCTCCCAAGGCACCTCTGGGCAGACTCAAACCTCCAACTTCTTGCCAAACACAGCACCCATCTGCCCACTAGGAGGCTTTTAACACCCAGTGCCCAGGTTGTGCCAATACTCTGAGTGAACTCTGAGCCGGGCACTGTGCCTGTTCAGGATCCCAGGTGACCGTTTCAAGTGCAGCCCAGTTTGGGAGCCACTGCCTTACACAGTCCGCTTGGCAGGGCTCAGGGATGTGAGATGGTATCTGCTTCAAACCAGAAACCCAGCTCACCGCTGTCCAGTTGATCATGACTCATAGCAGCCCCTGGGGGTTCAGAGGCTGTACAGCTTTACGAGAGCAGGTAGCTTCATCTCCTCCCATAAAATTGCCTCCAAAATGTTTTCATGACTCATGAAGGGGGCAGGGGGCTCACCTCTCCCTTCAGAGCCTTGGCTGTAATGGGTGCGGCAAGACCCTAACCTTCACCATCCAGCCTCCTGGGCTCCCCAGCTGGACCCAGGGTGCCATTCCCTGGGGATGGCAAAGTCCCCACCCTCTTCCCTCCAGAGCTTGCTGTTCACTGCCCCACAGGGCTGGCTGGTTACCAGGGGCAACTGTTGCTGGGGCACAAGCAGCAGCAGAGGCCACTTCCCACTGCACGCTGCCCTTCCCTCCTATGGACTGGACCAGCCGAGGGCCCTCCCCTTCACTCTCCACCATCCATACCTCTCCAGGGACACCGGCTGCCCCACCCTAGGGCACCCAGGTTGAGGTTCCCAGGGAGTGGACCTGGCAGTGGAGGGGGCAGGGTTAGGGGAGCCCAGGGATCCAGCCGGGTGCCAGAAAGTCTGAGGCGGGTGGAGTTTGCCTGCCTTTATGAGCGAGAACCCTGACTCAAAGCCTGGCCGGGTCAATGAGCCTGGTGCTTGTCCAGGCCACCCCTCGTGAGCGATCCCCCTGGCCGGCCCCCGCGCTGCTCTCACCCTGCTCCGTCTGCCTTCAGGACTTTAAGGAACTGGTGGAAAAACTGGAGAAGAATGAGAGGAAGCTCAAGAAACAGCTGAAGCTCTACATGAAGAAAGTCCAGGACCTAGAAGGTGGGTGTGCGTGTGTGCATGCGTTTGTGCGCGCGTGCATTGATGTGCACCATGTGACTGCGTGGTCAGTGCATAAATGGGTGTTGGTGATGTATGGGTTCATGTGTGTTTGGGTATTGGTGAGTGCATGCTACACGTGTGTGTGTATAAATGTGTGTGTGCCTGTGTGAAGCAGCAGGCCCCTGGCCACACCTCACAGATGTGGTTCACCTGCCTTGTCCCGATGTCCGTGCCCTGTCCCGCCCCAGGAGAGAAAGACGCTGGCCCTGACCGACTAGCCGTCCTCAGTTTGCCAGGGCTGGATGTAAACACTGGAGTCAGCAGGCATTTGGGTACTGACTCTGATCAAAGCTCTTCAGGGACAAGGAACCAGCCGGGAAGCCCTATGTCCCTGCCCTCAGAGGGTCAAAGCTGAGCCGCAAGACTTCCCGGTATGAAAGAATATGCCCAGTCACACACACGCACGCACACACACACACACACACACACACACCCTATGTCCCTGCCCTCAGAGGGTCAAAGCTGAGCCGCTGTATGAAAGAATGGTGAACGTGTGTGTAACTCTTGCTCCTTGGGGTCTCCGAAGGCTGGTTTCCGGGAGGCAGAGAGCCCCTATCTGTGGGTGTCTTCCTGGTGGTACTGTGCCTTCGGCCCCTCTCACCCACCCCCCACCAGCTCTGGCCCTTGGCCTGCAGGCCCCCCTCTGCTCACAGTAGTCCCCGCCACCCCCGCAGCCCCACCCTCCTCACTGCCTGCTGCAGAATGCAAGCCTGGTCCCCCTTCTCCGTCCCGCTCAGCCTCCCAGGCCCTGGCCCAGAGCGACAGGAAGCATGACGAGCTCACCCGGCAGGTGACGGTCCAGCGGAAAGAGAAGGACTTCCAGGGCATGCTGGAGTTCCACAAGGAAGACGAGGCCCTCCTCATTCGGAACCTGGTGACGGGTAGGACCTGCTGTGGCTCCCCTCGCTCCCCACTCCCCTGCCCCCTCATCACACTCTCACTAGTGCACCCTTCCCCCACCTCTGACAGCACCCATCACCCCCCACCCTATCCTCCATTCCCCACCCCTCCCCCACCTTACCTCTGACCTTCCTCACCATCACCCACCCTGTGCCCCAGGAAGTGGCCATTTCTGCAGGGGTGTTTGGCATTTAGATAAGAGGTAAACATTAGTTCAGAGAAATTGACTTGAAGAATCAAAAGACATGCTGCAGGCCTGCTGGGGGGAGGCACCCGGCAGAGACCCAGACAGACCGAGTCCCCTGGGGCTGAGGCTGGGCATTTGACCCTCTGCTCCTTACCCAGCCGGCTGCTCTCTCCATCAAGTGCCTCCCCCCTCCGATGGGCCAGTGGTGGTCGCCCCAAGTGGTCAGCCGTCCTTAAACAGGCTGACCTTGTCCCCACACTGCTGGAGAGGAATCATCTGGTTCACAGCATGGGGTGAAAGGAAGCGCAGGAGACCTCTTGCCTCCTCCCAGACGGGCGGCTGTTGGGCACTGGTACAACGTCCCCCACACACACTGCCCTTGTCGAAGGTGGTTCCACTAACCTATGGACACACAGACCCCTCCCAAAGACCCGGCCATGTGCTGAACTCCTCTCCAGTTACTCAGCTAGCTGCTGTGGAGGACAGAGAAAAGTTGAACCCAAGGCCTCTCTGCCCACCAAACACTAAAACACGGCGGCCACTGAGTCAATTCTGACCCATAGCAACCCTATAGGACAGAGTAGAACTGCCCGTGTGGGTTTCCCAGACTGCAACTCTTTACAGGAGTTTCTCCTGCAGAGCGGCTGGTGTGTTTGAACTGCTGACCAAGGGAGGTCACCCACTGCACCACCAGGGCTGCACTTAACTGGAAATGAGAGCAGTCGCTGCAGAACAAACTGCTTGCAGACGGTCTGCTGTGGGCCGGCCGAAAGCTGTCTACAGGCCAGGAGTCTGGGCCCTCACTTGCGTTCTCCTTGACAAATATTACTGACGGTCTGATTAGCGTCAAAGGCTGGTGCAGAGGCATCTCTTGAGCCTATTCCCTGCCTGGGTGTTGACCCTGGTGCCTGCATTGTGGCCTGAGATGCACATGGCCTGGAGTGGTGGATCTGAGGGGACAAAGCAAGTCAAGTGCCAACTGGAGAAGCTGGCAGCATGTTCCCAGCCCCCCGTGGGGCAGCTCTGGCAGATTATCGGAGGGTATGCTCCTGTCCTCCCTCGGACCCACCTGCTTGGAGCCAGAAAGGGGGGGAACAGGAAGGGGTGAGACTATAGAGCTGGCCAGCAGGGGGAGAACTGCCTGCTCACTGCTCTGCCTCCTGGGCTGGGCTTTTAACACCAGGTGCTCTGGACCTGTGGATGGCCTCCCATGCTCTCTCTGGAATGAAAAGTGGTCTGACAGCTTCTCTGCCCCGGAGGGGCGGGCAGCTGTGTGGTGTGTGAACCTGCTTTGGATGGGAAGGCTCACAGCATTTTCCATCCTACCAGAGCAAACCTTACAGGGCGGAGGAGGGTGGTGGGGGTACAGAAGTAGGAAGAGGGGTCGTCACCACTCCAGATGGAGGCAAGTACTGGCCACAAGAGAAGCTGGTGGAGACCAGCGTGGCCCTGGAGAGTGGAGGAGTGGCCATGGCCAGCAGTGGGCTGCTAGGTCTTTGCACTGGGAGGTTATGGCCAAACTGACAGCCAAGTGGGCCAGAGGTCGCGCCTGCCTACCCAGCCCTCTGCCAACTCCCCGTGTGTTTGTTAGCGCACACCATGTGCCCCTGGGGCTGCTCCTTGTCCCTGTGCCCATGATGGGGCCGAGAAATACAGAGGAGTCCAGTTCTCATCCCAGTGGGGATCCCACTCTCTCTACAACCTGCCTCTGGCCCAGCCCCCTTGGCTGTGGATGCAGTGTCTTGCGGGTCAGCTCAGGCCAAGAGCTCCCTGCAGGCTGCCTTCCTCCACGTGGAAGGACGAGCATTTAAAGCTCATAGGAATGTTAGAAACCGAGCAAATCGGAACATGCTTTTTTTTTTTTAAATAGAAAAAAAGAGACATATTTAACTACAGCTTTCATAGGATACAGGGAGACCTAACAGTGGTCAACAGACGAAAGGTACTAACTAATGTGCGTAGGGACAAGGGTAAGTGAAACAGTACTGCTTCAAGGGTTTTATAGTCCTGCTTTATTCCCAGCAAGATGTCCTTAAGCATATCTCTGAGGTCAGTGGGTGGCTGCAGACCAGCTCCCTCCATGATGTGCTCATCTTAATCTCCCTCCGATGAAACGGTCCGATCTAAACCGTGGCCGCCAAGGGACCAGGCTGGCGGCAGAGAAGCCAGCCCGGAGCAGAAGGTTACGGGGACTGCTTTCTGAGTTTCCAAAGGGGTCGTCTTGGTTGGCTTTCTCGGGGGGTTACAGGGTGACCATAGAGGCTGATTAGGAAGGAATTTTAAGAAAATGGGAACTGCATCTTTGAGGGAAAGGCTAAGGATGTTTGTGTAGAGGGATGCTATTTTCCCCATCACAACAATGCACCTGCTCATCATTCAAGGGGAAGCAAGGGCTGCCGCAGGGGAATTTCACTGGCAAACCTGACGTGATCGACCCCACGGCCCTGACCTTGTCCTCCCAAACCTTTCTGTGTGAAAAGCTCAGTATTTGAAAGGAGCATGATTTGAATCTCAAGAAGCTCCAACACAACCACTTTGTCATGATGCAACTAGAAGCATGGAGAATTCCTCTCGGGGAAACCCTCCCCCGTGGCGTGGAAACACCCGTGGCCTTCAGGCGGGTGTAGACCTATGTGGGAGAGGTACCAGGAAATCACAGTCAAATGTGTTTCTTTTAACAACGGTTTCTAGGACATCTTTGTAGCGATACTTTTTGGATCTGTTCTTTTAAAACAAACTACCAATAAGAAAAAACAATAACTCAATGGGGAAACAGGCTAAATATTTTAACAGGCACAGAGCGGGGGAAATCTGATTGATGAACATATTAGCTTAACTCCACCTCTGTGGTGGTTATGGTTCTACGTTAAACTAACAGGCAATGATGAGGCTGGAAGAGTGGACCCTCTCGTCCGCTTCTGGTGGGCTACATACGGACTGCTGTTTTAGGATCCAGGTGGTGCAGTGGTTAGGCACTCAACTGCGCACTGAAAGATTGGCAGTTCAAACCCACCAGCTGCTCAGTGGGACAAAGAAGATTAATGTCTTGGAAACCCGATGAGGTTACTAGAAGCCCTAGGTAGCTTAATGGATTACACATTAGGCTGATAACCAAAAGGTCAGCAGTTCAAAACCACCACTGGCTCTGTGGGATAACTCCCGTGAAGTTGCAGACACAGAGATGCACAGGGGCAGTTCTATCTTGTCCTATGGGGTCACTATGAGTCAGAATTAGCTCGATGGCTGTGAGTGTTGTTTTTTATGGGACTGTTATGAGTTAAAATCCACCTGAAGGTGATGATAACACAAACAAACCTCGAACCCACTGCCACAGCATCGATTCTGACTCAAGGGAGGAGCCCTAGTGGCACACTGGATTACCAGCGGAGCTACCAGCTGCAAGGCCAGCAGTTCAAAACCAGCAGCCGATCCCCAGGAGAAAGATGAGGCTTTCTTATCCCATAAAGGTTTCCAACCACAGAAACCCCCGGGGGCAGTTCTCGTGTGTCCTGTAGGGTCGGGTGACTCGGTGACAGTGGACAGCACATTTGACAGCGCATACAATCTGGGCTCCAGAAACTCTTGCCTGGTGATGTTTGTTAGGAACATACTGTTCTTGGTCTTGCTTTTAAATGGCAGCTTCTGTACCTGCTCTTTGTGGGAGTCCAGAGGAAAGGTATGCCCCAGGGCAGCCACTCCCCCCTCAAAAAGCCCTGCTCCGGGAAGAGCTGCAGAGAAATGTGGGGAGAAGGGTGCATTTCAGACTTGGGTGCTCAGGGCCCCAGGTGTTCCTTGTAGACCTGACTCTTGCTTCTTGGTGGCAGAACTGAAGCCACAGAGCCTGTCGGGCACCGTGCCCTGCCTCCCCGCCTACATCCTCTACATGTGCATCCGGCACGCAGACTATGTCAACGACGACCTCAAGGTGCACTCCTTGCTGACCGCCACCATCAACGGCATTAAGAAAGTCCTGAAGGTGCGTGTCCCCACAGAGGGAGGGGTGCGTGGTGGGCCAAACCCCCCCCCCACACACACACACACACACACCTTCTCAGTGCTGCTCTGCACCTTGGTTTGGCAGCTGTGAATCCTCCAAATGTGACTGCTTTGGGCACAGAAGCACTCCCCCCAAGTCCTTGGGATGCCCCAGAAGTCCCCAGGGAAAGCTGCTCTGGCTCAGAAATGGGCTAGGAGCCGCTAGGGAGCCCTCGGCGCTCACAAATCGTGAGGGGCTGTGGGGCGAGGAATCTAGTCTGGCTTGGCCCTGTCCCGTTTCAACTGAGGGGCAGGGGTTGCTGAACAAAAGCTGGGCTGCGTCCCCTGGTCTGCCAACTGGCGAAGATGCGAGGGCGCCATCCCGTCTCCACGCTTAGTGGGGCCCCTGACCTGGAGTGAATTTCAGGGGCGGGGCTTGAACCTAGCCTCTCTCCAGGCCTTCCCAAAGGACACTTGCCAAGAGCATCGGTGCTGATGTGCTTCAACTGCCAAGGGGGCAGCTGCACCAGGACAGCCTCTCACAGAGCAGTGGGGCAGTGCAGGGGCTCCACCTGTGGCATGAGGCTCTTCAGGAGTGTAATTGGCCAGTGGTTCCCTGCCACAGCCAACCAGCCTGTGAGAGGGGAAGCCCGGCCACACGGGGCAAGAGTGGGAGGAATTTATGCCTCCTCCCTAAATGTCTAATTCGAGTGATATGTCACAGTAGGCAAATCGGCTGCACAAACCTCTTGAAGGTGTTGACGAGCAGAGATGTCACTCTGAGGTCTAAGGTGCAGCTGGCCCAGGCTATGCTGTTTTCAGTTGTCAGGTAAGGGCTGGACAGTGAGGACAAGCAAGTGAAGAAGAGTTGAGACATGAGATCTATGGTGCTGGCCGAGAAGGCTGGAAGTCCCTCAAACTGCCAGCGGAACAAACCCGTCTGTCCTGGAGGAAATGCAGCTGCGGTTCTCCTTGGCCGCTGGGATGGCAGGACTTCAACTGGTTCTTAAGAGAGACCAGCCCCTCAGAAGATGACTCTCAGTGGGTCGGATTAGCACGGTGGCTGCAGCCGTGGGCTCAGACCTAACAACTGTAAGGGTGACACAGGACTGACAGGTGTTTCCTTCAGTCGCATACAGGGTCAGTACCTAAACACGTGACAACCACGACAAGCATAAACGTCATTGCTCAGAGCGCCTGTCCTCCTCATGCACTGCCATCTCCCACAGGCAGTCCTTCCTCAGACTAGGCCTCGTTCTCCTGTTAACAGTCTGCCAGAACCAGCCTTTCCCTCCAGTCAGGCCAATTTTATATCTGCCCCACTGCCTGCCCAGCCACGGCTCCACAGGCACGTTGACCCGTCCACGGCTGTAAATGTGCTAAACCAAGCCAGTTACCACCACGGCGAATCCAAATCAGGGCGACCTCACCTGCCATTGTACCTCTAAGATATATCCCAGACATTACCACTTCTCACTGTCGCCGTCACCACCACTTCCATCCCAGGGCCCAGCCATGTCTCCTGTCCCCACCCCCCACCCCCAGCAGCCTCCCTTCCATCCTTCCGTCGTCTCTGGCCTCAACACAGCAGAGTGGTCCTTCGAACGTCTTAGGTCACACAGGTCCCCTATCTTCAAACCTTCCACTCACCAGCATCCCTGTCAAAATCCCAACTGGACTTCTTTTTCCCCCCAGAAATTAGCAACCTGGTCCTAAAATCCACATGGACACTTTAAGGATCCACATTTGCCCAAACAATCTTGACACGGAGCAAAGTATGGAGGTATTCACATGCCTCAACTGTTCAAAGCTCACAGCAAAGCTATAGTAATCAAGAGAGTCTGACACTGGCATGAGAATAGATGGGGAAGATCTTGGAAATACAGTTGATAAGCCAGAAATAGACCCTACATCTGCAGTCATTGATATTTGGCCAGGGTGCCAAGCCCGTCCAAGGGGGGAAAGAATCATCTCTTAGACAGCTAGTGCCCAGGACAGCCAGCTATCCATCCACATGCAAGAGTCTAAGTGGGCCCTTGCCTCACACCATATACAAGCATTCGAAGGAAGCACCAGAGCCTGCCGTTGTGACTTTGAAGCAGTTTCTTAGCTCTGACAAGAACGCAAACAACCAAAGGAAAGAAGTAGATAAACTGAACGTCCTCAAAGCTAAAAACTGCTTCAAAACACACAACCCAGAAAACCGATGGGAGAAAAATTTCTGCAAATCTTACATCTGACAAGAAACTCATATCCAGAGCATATAAGGAGCACATGCAGCTCGACAATAAAAAGATCACTCGATTTAAAGATGGGCTCAGGAGACGTTTTCCCAAAGAAGCTATACGGACAGTCAAGAAGCACGTGGAAGGGTAACAGCATCAGTCATTAGTGAAATGCAAGTCAAAACCACAATGCAAAAAAAAAAACACAGTGCAAAAAAAAAAAAAAAAAACCGCAATGCAATACTGTTTTGCACCCACTCGGAGGGCTGTAATAAAAATGGAAACATATACTAGCAAGTGTGGGTGAGCATTTGGAGAAAATGCGGGGGGAGACCCTCATCCATTGCAGATGGGAATGTCAAACACCGTAGCTACTCCAGAAAAGTTTGGCAGTTTCTCAAAAAGTTAGACACAGAATTGCCATATGACTCAGCAGTTCTTCTCCTAGGGAATACACCCAAACACACGTATTCATGCAGAAGCGTGTACATGCGGCTACGCGTGTGGCAGCATTAAATGTTAACAGCCCCCAAGTGGAACCCCCCCAAGTATCTAGTGATCAGATGAATGGATGCCCCAAATGCTGTCTAATCACATGGAGTATCATGCAGCCGTAGAAAGATGGAGGACTGACAACTCTAATCACATGGAGTATCATGCAGCCATAGAAAGATGGAGGACTGACAACTCTAATCACATGGAGTATCATGCAGCCATAGAAAGATGGAGGACTGACAACGTGCCACAAAACAGCAGAAGCTTGACAACACATGAACAGGCCGACCCAGAAAGTCTCATGGGATAAAGTGAGCCCACCTTTTGAGGGAAGGCAAAGCCACAGAAATGGAAAGTAGACACCCGATTGCCGGGAGAGGACAACGGGGAATGATGGACATGGGCCCAGGGATTCTCTCTGGGCTACAGAAGTATTCTGGAATTAGACAAGTGATGACGGTCATACTCGTTTGTGAATATGATACAAGGCACTGGCTTGCCCACCCAGAGGGAGTCCATCCTAGGGCATATGAATTACAGCTCCATGTGGGGAGACCCTCTCGAGGTTTTCCTTTTGTGTTTTAGCAGAGCCCCGGGTCTTCTCTGCGCCGCGCCCAGGGGGGTGTGCACCCCCGTGTGTGTGCTGTGCGCGCTGTGTCTCTCCTCTGTGTCTCGCGGGTCTCGCTCTACCCCTGTTTCCCCAGAATGCTGCTCCCTCTCCCTGGATTGCCTCGCCCCTCTCCCACCGGATGACTGCCGCCTACTCAACTGCTAAGCCTGACCTCACAGGCCACCTCCTTACAGGAACCTTCCCTAAGCACCTGGGTCAACCAGCATGCCCGGCCCTCCCGGTCCCTCTCTCTTCCACGTCCTGTCCTTATTTTTGTCAAGGCTCTTGCTGCTCCCTGACTAGCCGTTTAAAGATAATCCTCCCCTGGGTGGCAGGATGCGAATTTGTGTGCCGTTTCCTGGCACTCTGGTTGTACATCCTTTTCCATGGAGTTAGGGTTTGCTGCAGTTTTCTAGAAGGTTGGAGCCGTTGGGACTTTGGACCGCTATGTTACCAGCACGTTAGAGTACTTACCCCTGCTCAGCTGGAGCCTTGTCTGCTCCACTCAGCTTTGGCATCTTTGGCCGTCACAGGGGCTGCAGGTCCTTCGTTTGTGTGCACGCGCATGTGCCCCAGATCAGGGGGCCCGAGGGAGACACTGTGTACCACCTCCAGTAACGGAGGATCGTGGGCCTCCCTCTGCGATCCTCAGCTTGGGCTGGAGCATGCTGGGTAGAGGAGGACGAAGCTTGGAAGGAATGGAGCCAGGTAGGCATGGAGCCCCAGGTGAGCACCACTTGCTCACAGCTGGGGGGTGCTCTGTGTTTCCGCAGAAGCACCATGATGACTTCGAGATGACGTCATTCTGGCTGTCCAATACGTGCCGCCTCCTCCAGTGTCTGAAACAGTACAGCGGGGACGAGGTGAGAAGCCCCGGTGTGTCGCAGACACACGGTCCATCCCAGCTCTGTCCTCACACCTGTCTTCTCTGGTCTCACTAACCACCCTTTGCAACACCCTTGACAACCACCCGACCGTTAACCACAACCGCGCGCACATTGTTCAGGTTTTCCCTCACTCCGGGAGCCCTGGTGGCAGTGCTCACACACCGGGCTGCTAAGCGGCAAGGTCAGCAGTTCCAGACCGCCAGCCTCCCCTCAGGAGAAAGGGGAGGTTCTCTTCCCCATAAAGAGTGACAGCCTTGGAAGCCCACAGGGCAGTTCTGCCCTGTCCTGTAGGGTCGCTGGGAGTACAAATCACAGCAACTGGTGGGCAGCGAGTTTGCTTTTGTAAGGGTTTTATCTTTATTCCGTCTCTTGTCTGGAACACACTGGGACAGACTCGCTTCCGGGACGTGCCAGGCCGTCCAGGCGGATGCCTGTCTCCTTAGAATCAGAACTTGGTTTCCTCGCCAGCTTTTATTAAGGCCCTTACGCAAGGGCGAGTTAAGTGTTAAGAAACGGAACTCATTTCTACTGTGTTATGGGAGGACATGGATGGCCTTCCTTTCAAGTCCTTCCTGAGGTTACCCTCATACTGCATGAGCTTCTCCTTCAGCACAGACGGTACTCAGTGCTACCGCATGGGCGTCCATCATTTTGCCCCACGGAGTATGTGTCCTCAGCGGGACGTTGTAGGGGGCCGGCCCCGGCCAAGTGCTCCAGGACATTCCAGCCCATGGCCTCTGAGCCGATTCTGCGTCCTATCAGCCATGTAGGACAGAGCAAAATTGCCCCCTTGGACTTTGTTTCCAAGCTGTCAGTCTTGAGAGAGGCAGACTGCCACTCTTCTGCTGAGCTCCAGCTGGCTTCCCACCGCTGACCTTCGGGTTGGAAGCCAGGGCCTGCCACTGTCCCGCCAGGTCGTGACACAGAGCTACTCTTGTTCCGCCGAGACAAGAGCCCAGCCCACCATGACCTGATCTGCACAGTCCACGTCTCAAGGGAGAATCCAGGTGTAGGTCTTAGACGTCAGGCCGCCCTTTGTCTCCCTGCCTTTGTTTGTATTCAGAGTTGGCTGTGGAATGAGAGGCCTCACTGAAGGTGGGCACTCTTTTGAAAACACGGATATGTTGGTTTCTGTTGGCTTCCCTTGGCCCAGATGTAGAGCAGCGGTTCTCTACTTGTGGGTCTTGATCCCTTTGGGGGTCAAATGACCCATTCACAGGGGTGGCCTGATTCATAACAGTAGCAAAATGACAGTGATAAAGTGGTAACGAAAATAATTTTATGGTTGGGTGGTCACCCCAACATAAGGAACTGTATGTAAGGGTCGCAGCCTTAGGAAGGTTGAGAGCCACTGATGTGGCGGGATGTTGACCCCGCTCTGGGTCCTTTTGAGGTTAGTCATTCGTGTAACTTGCCTGTGACCTCATCCTGTGAGTATGGCCAGCTCCACAGACGTGTGCTGCAGCTGTGGGCCATTCCTCTCCGCCTGGGAAGTCTGGGGCCACTTTGGACCAGAGAGAACCTCTACGAAACCTCTCCTTATAAAGACTGGCAGTCTGTCCTGGCCCAGAGTCCTTTAGGGGCCATGTGTGTTCTGACACGGCAGGGTAACGTAGTACATGGGAAGAAAAGCACAGGACAAAGAGAAAGCCTGGATCCGTCTTCCGGATTTCCTGCTATCCTAGAAAACCTCTTCGTTTGCACATGTGAATGGTTGCATTTTTGCTGTTCAGGGATGGATGGATGGATGGATGGATGGATGGATGGATGGATGGATGGA